CAGGTGCAGTGGAAGTCAGGTGCAGTGGAAGTCAGGTGCAGTGGAAATCAGTGCAGAAGAGGGACTGGGCATCCGACACTCCTGGAAGTGTCAGAAGCTGAGGATTGTTCAATCAGGACAGCAGAGATTGCCAAGAGACTGGAGACTGGTCGGCAGCGAGGACTATGAGAGTAGATGGGAGATTTCTGTTGCACATTATAAGCAGCCAAAATAAACTGTGTGGGAAAATTATAGTTGGAAGGCTCCTTTTCTTCCTCCAAGTGTTCTCTAAGAAAATACACGGATATTATTTTGTCACTTGACCTTGCAGTTGAAAGCAGCAGAAAAATCTCACATCTGATACGCGCACTCTGCTTGGCAAATAAGCACTTTAATAGGCATTGCACGGTTATTTTATAGGCATTTTGATCATTTATGGAGGTCGGCTCCTAATGTGCCAAGCAGCGCAGTGATTGTTTTGAGTTGTTAAGACGCAAGGAATCAAGAGCCTGGCACCATTGATAGATATACGATACCAGTGGCATAAAGCTTTGTGTATTCCCGCAGGCCCAGTCTGTAGTGATACACTTGCTTAATCGGAGATATCCCACCTTGTGAAATGTTGTTTCTCATTAAATCCATAAGCTCAGTGCTAGTGAGAGCGAAGACAGATGCTTTCACTTAAAAGGGGTTTAAGTGGTTGACACTGGCTGGGCTTCCCCCCAGGACAAGATGCTGCAAGACAGTTGGTGCACTTGTCATTTTTAATAGGTCTCTGTTCTGCGCTGTCATTATCCCCGGGTAAAATATGAGGCCCAGAGCTGGAGCAGCGGCCAAAGTCTAAAATGAGCCGACATATATCATGGTGACTTCAGAGGTTTTGGCCGTTTCCCTTTACACACTGGTGTGTCATTTCAAAGATATTAGACTCATGTCGCTGCGTGCCATTTGGGAAAAGCTTATATCTAAAAATTTGTATGCCCCAGCGGAGAGAGCATGACAACATTTTTGTGAAGCATTTCATGAAATATGATAAGAGTTTGGAACATCCTATATAATAATGTGATGGAAGGTATGATGTTTCCTGCTGAATGTGATTTGCCAAAATTTGTATTGTATTGTAATTTTGTAGCCGGTCTGACTGCCAGCAGAGAAGCCGGCTGTTTCTATGGAAAGTTTATGCTCAGATGAGATTTTCCATCATTTCCTGTCCTAACTTAAACTTCCCTACTCTGTCCAAATCTAAGAACAAATGTGGATGGAAAGCCATTTTGAACTTTTTACGTAAACTTGTCCATATTTTTGATTGAAGTAACCTTGGGATAAAATACGGGGCCTACGTACACAATGTATCTGTTGGAAGTTTTCAACTAGTATTCAGGTTTGCTTAACTAGATGCATATTGTTCAGCACATCATACATTAGTGTTTTCTACATTCTGTCGATTGTTACCTCTTCTTTATTGTACATGGTATATAGCTACAGACGCTTTTCATTTTCGTACCATTCTGTTTGCAGTCCCATCTGACAATCCCTGTGCATAGAGACTATTGTAAGCTCTCCTCTGTCACAGCTCTCAGGCAATGCTTTGATAGCAGCTGTGAAAACTCAGACTAGAAATCAGACTTTGAATGTCCGGTTGGTTCTTACACTGTCTGCCTGGATACTGTGTAACTAATGGAATTCTTATATAATTCCAGCCAATGGGGAAACGGAGGGATAAAGAAATCTGAAGCGAAAGTCATTTAAAACAGAACTGTACTTAAAAAGATAGGAACCTGCCAGGAAGTAGAGGAAACAGTGACCTGCAAAAATTATTTTGCCAAAAAACGTCTTCCTCTGGCTCCTCGCAGTTTTGTATTCAGTGTAGAGTGCCTGCAGTGCAGTGTACACTCCTGGCTTGTTCCGGACATCTAGTAGATGCCGAGAATGGAGCCTGGTGCTGTAGCAGTGTGAGTACAGCCATCAGTGGCTGCCCAGTGTCAGAGCCAGAAGAAGACTGGCTAAAAATGTCAGCAGCAGCAACTAGGGGGGAGTGTGGATGTTGCATCTCTGGAGGAGGGCGCACTGAAAGGTGTGTGAACCATAAAGTGTGCGATGAAAACATTATGCCACATTATGGTCAAGAGTCAGCCCACCACAACTGAGGTAAAGTACATCTTTGGGTGCATTAATACACAGATGGGTCACAGCTGCTATGTGTAGGGATTGCTAGAGAACTGTGACATGAATGAGGGAGGAATGGAGAACATACCACAGTCTCTATGCACCGGCACTGCGAGATAAGACAGCCAGGAGAATGGCACTTGTTTATTTTGAGATCCCACTAAACACTCATAAGCATGCCTTCAAAATGCTGTTATCCTCATTTCATGCAAAACTAGAAGAATACCTTTAGGTATAGAAATAATTATTCTTTGACCCCTTAAAAAAAAGATCCTTCTGGCACCATCCTAAAATGTTTCTCCTGAAAGTCCTAAATTGCAGATGTCTTCCACCTGTGATCAGTATATTTGTTCAGTTTTGTCACCACCCTCTCAGGCTTTGCATGGACTGATCAGGAAGAGTTACCTCTCTGAATTGGATCTGACGTCTATTTACTGGTTGCCCAACCCAGGACTGGTGCAGCACTTACACCGTCCTTCCTTCTGGAGGGGGGCTACCTTTGTTCCCCATGGTCCCTGTGTGTGTTGTAAAGTAGTCACCGCTCCAAGCTCGCTCCCAGGATGGACTACAATCTCAATACAATGTGGCAAACTAAACATGATATTGTAGTCCATCCCGGGAGCGAGCTTAGTGCGGTGACTACTTTACAACACACACAGGGACCATGGGGAACAAAAGTAGCCCCCCCTCCAGAAGGAAGGACAGTGTCAGCACCAAGTCAGAGATGATTGGAGGAAATACAGCCGAGTGATACACAAATAAGATACATTGTTCAGAGTTCGGGGACTTGAATGTATTTTTCAGGTTTACCTCCGAAGTTTAGTGTCACTTTAACATAACTGATGCGCAGGCCGGGTGGAGGAATAGAAGAGGGAACTGTGTTAAACATAAAATTTCCAGGTAATATTTTTGCAGACAGATCTTTTGCGTAGATTTGCAGTTATACCCAATGGAGTAAACAACCCGGCCTATTTATACCCAGCGACAGATGCGCGTGGCTCCATAACTCAGATAATGTTGTAGGAAGGTATGGACAGTATAAAGCCCTATGTATTCATGAATGTGTTTATGGGAAATCTTTCTTCACTTTCTCCCCCCAGAGTTACTTATCACGGTTGGCGGAAGTAGGTCCAGAAAAGACTGAAGCAGAGAAGATGGTTCCCCAGCAGGAGGATGTGGGGATTGTTCCTCAGTTTGAGAAGAGCAGACCTTGAAGATGTGAAATAAAAATCGGACGAATGAGAGGATGTCGTGATATTCTTAGCCGAGGACAATACAGGTTGTGTGAAGATCGGAAAGGATTTTGGTAAAGGAGCCGGAAGAATGATAACCCAAAGAGCCAATCATGCCATACTTCAATGTGTCCAGCACAAACATGGTGCACAGCCAAATCAGTGCATCTCAAAGCTGCTGTGACATTCGGCATTTTTATTCGTCAGGAGAAATCCCCCCCCCCCAGATTTAGTCATGAGACAGAAGAAGGACCTGGTGTTCCGATACACCGGTCTGTAAGCTCGCTATATATAGAACCAGAATACATGTTTTCATTTCCGACAAGCAGGATCAGTGCTCCTTCCCTGCGCACTTTCGAATGAGAAACCGATTATACAACCAAAATGTCCTCAGTGACCTTTAACCAGAAGAATTTAGGGGAAGGTCATTTGCCGGAACGGCAGGCGGTAAGATTGGTGAATTTTAGTCTGTACAATGGGTGATCTTTACTATAACTGGAAGCAGCCTGTGTGTGTCGTCTGAACACCGCGTGCTAAGATGAGCGCCGACATAACTCCGGCTTTGTAAATGCACATTGTGCCAAAATGGATCTTTTATAAACTGACTCAGGGATTTTATTGTGTTCATTCAGATATATCGTATTGTTATGACCAGTACCTCAGAGTACAATGCACTAGATGTGATGTAATACTAGGTGCAGATGTCCAGAATCTATGTACATCTCCACTGCTAATACTGTGACCGTGCCTCTCATCCCAGTATGCTGATGTGTAGCTTCCCTGCAGCATAGTGCAAGGTGGACATACACGTCACATATTCAGGATTGTACATGTCAGAGACTCGGCTTCTCACAGCCGCTCTGCGCTACAACTAACATTATTCTGCAGAATTTTCGAGTCTTGTTTCTCTTATATGTGACAATTGTACTGCTGCAAAAACACTGAAAAGGGACGTTGCCCGTTACAAAACATATGACAGTCTGAGAAAACAGAATATGATGGTTTAGAACCATGTTGCCGAGCGAAGAATAATTTCACTATAAAGATACAATTTGCTTTCAACAGATAAACAGCAGAAAAGGGATTTCCTCCTATCTATAGAGTTCTATGACTTTTTAGAACTGACCTGTTGAAAAGTTTTCTCAGCAGCTGGTGGAAGCTGGGTCAGACCTGCCATGGGTTGCAGCGGGTACAGGAGGTCCTTACCATTCTCAGTATGTTCCCCCGGCTATATTTTCACCGTCTGTCTTGGCAAACGCAGGCTTTCCCGGCATTACGATAAGGTACTCGCTGTACTGGTCCTTCTGTATATAGAATAAGTACAAATTGCATCAAAACTTAATAATGTGAATTTTATTTTATTTTTTACTGCTTTTAAAGAACTGGTTCACCAGGATCTATATATAAAACCAACAACACAGAGTATTTATAGCATTATTGTACTGTTACACCAGGAGCTCGCACTCATGTATGGTCTCTCTGGATGCATCAGGTGCAGGATTATAGGATAGAATAAACGGGGAATCTTTTCCCTGTTTCACAAGGAAACGGCTCTGGTGTTTCTGAAGCCCTGATGAAGGGAGACCCCTTAATGACTCTAAAACATGTTGGCTTGTCCTTTCCAGCTTGAGGGATAAAATGGGCTTTTTGGGCTCTGTACATTCACTAAGGATATCAAGACACGTGTAGATTATTAGCAAATATGGTTTGGTTTAAGCTTACCACACGTTACAATTTGACTGTACAATCAACTTTAGATCTACTACATCTCCACCCTCGTCCTCAAAGTATCACACTAACCGTCCGCTCCGCTCCTCCCAAGACCTCCTGCTCTCTAGCTCCCTCGTCACTTCCTCCCATGCTCACCTCCAGGACTTCTCTAGAGTCTCTCTCATCCTTTTGGAACTCCTTACCCCAACCTGGAACTCCTTACCCCAACCTGTCCGTCTATCTCCCACTCTGCTTGCATTTAGGCGATCCCTTAAGGCTCGTCTCTTCAGGGAAGCCGATCCCACCTCAACCTGACCACTCAACCATCACGTTCTCAAACAATTCATCCCCACACAGCTACCTCCTCGTGTATCACTGGCCCCTCCCCTTTAGCTTGCAAGTCTCATCTTGTCGTGATTTGTATTGTAATTGTAATGTCTTCCATATATTGTAAAGTGCTGTGCACACTGTTGGCGCTATATAAATCCTGTATAATAATAATAATAATAAGGAGCTGCCTAAACTATGCAATTTATATCCATTCAGACCCTTGTACTACATACTTGTTGGTAGAGAAGGAGATTGTACAATCAGATTGTAAGGTGTGTGGAGAGCTTTACACTTTCCCCGTTAATAATCTGCCTGTGTGTGCCACGGACTACTTTAAAGGTTCACATTTCCCAGCCGCTGAGATGGTAGATCTCATCTCTGGAGGTCTGCAGCAGTGTATATATATGGCTCTCTTATCTTCCACCAATCCTCCGGCCATCTGGGTGGTAGGCCGAGTCTGCCGCAGATGAGTCCTCTCACACTTGGGATCAGCCCCAGAAATGACCAGGTTGAGGAACATAAAACACAAACATCCTCCACACTGTCTGTGAATAAACCACCAAGTTGTTTTTTTTCCTGCACCTCGAATAGTAAACACGGGACAATCGGCCATATTATTATTTTTTTAAGCATGTCATTTTTATTGAGTTTTTAGTGCAAATACATATGAAAAGGACATCATAGTAACCCGGTACACGCACAGTATAGTAATTGTCATCTCCCTTCATGTACTGAATGTTACAATGAGACTCATCAATGCGCTGATACATTATAACAAAATGAAGTCAAAGCAATTCTTTGTGCCGCACAGAGGACGATACGTGACTTCCTAATTGTCCTGTGAACACTAGAGGGCAGTGTGCTACTAACATATGTCACAGTGTCTCACCAAGGCCTCACTAAATCTACAAAATAAAAGATATCTGCTCAGGGCAAAGACTGAACAAAGAGAGGATTTTACATGACATGTCACAGATCCTTGCACGTATAGCCTTGTGAAGTGTACCTGTCACTCATTCACAATGGAGTCAGTTATTTTGTTGGCTGGCCTGGTATTGATATGTAAACACTGATGACATCGCAGTACAGAGATGTCCATAGCTACTAGTAACCTTCTAGGATGGATTAGCCCAAGGCACAAAAAACAGAGCTGCTTCCGGAGTTCATTTGGGACAGGCACTTTGTAATTGCAGTTTGCTGCTACAACGGGCAGAGTCTGGATCATGACAGGAACAGCTCAGGTTCCTAGGTAGGTGACACAGGAACCTATCTGACTATCACAGTGTTCCTTTGAATGGATATTCAGGGATTTTCTGTTCTGGGTCTATTGAGGCTTGCGACTGGTAAACGATACTTGAACTGGACCAGAGAAACTATTTATTGAAGCTTATATAAATCATTTTATTTAAATTATGGCTTTTAAACAGTTAAACATTGACGTCTGTCACAAGTGTTCTTCACTTCTGTTTCATCACAAAGTATTTTAAATGGAGTTTGATAATGAATATTTTAATAAAGAGGATTTTCATGCATTTGGCTTTTGGTTTATATGTGTGATGTACGGGGAAGTGCCAAGGGAAAAATCAGCCTTCGAGTGTGTTTGTGTGCATGGGCATCTGTTCTGTATTCTGCCCACTGATAGGACCTCCCCACAACAGAAATGGGCCTGAAATATTAGCTGTTTGCTACAACCAGATATCCCCCCCAAAAAATGTGTTCTCTGTGTCTGTTCTGTGATCACGGAGGATGTTAGCCATTTGGCACACACAGCTCATAATACAGTAGTTTATAGTCACAGAGAATGACATGCAGCACCGAGCTCTAATTTAAATCAGCAACACCAGAGCCGCCATTAGAAGTCATGGGGGCCCATCACTATACAAGCATGAGGATCAGCGGAGAGTGGAAGTATTACAGACTGGACACACTTCGCTGCACTGAACATAACACAGCGGGAAGAGAGTTACCAGCAATATCCCATACAGAGCGGGATGTGATCCCTCATCAGATCTCAGTCTCCTCTCAGTAGCCCTCAATACTCCTGATCCAGCTCCTCATCCTCCTCTCTATAGTAGAGTGGGTAAAGGACTACCACTCCCAGAACTCATCTACTTTTGGATTCATCCTGCTTCCAAGCTGAACCCGGGCCCCTCCTGCTAATCATTGATGGGGCCTGGACATGCAAGCTCCTCCTCAGCTGTCATCAGCAGTGCCACTCCCAGGCCTCATCAACACTGATCCATCCTGCTTCTAAGCCAACGCCGGGTCCCCCTGCTGACCTAATGGGGCCCAGAAGGGCAGTACTGCCTGTACCTCACTATTGGTGGCCCTGAGCATCACTTTTTATTTAGCTGGTCATCAAAGGCAGTAAATAGGGGAAACTCCAGACAACTTGTTTTAGCTGTGGGTGGAGAGGAAAGGGTTCAATCATCTGTTGGGATTTTTATTGCTGTGGGGGAGATTCCCCCCGCCCACCACCGCTGAGACACAACAGGAAGTAAAGGGAAATCTCCCCAAATGAAGTAAAATTCCACATTTGACAGTTATCACTGGATCAGGTGTCCCTGAAAGGTACATGGCCTCTTGTTCTAATGGCAATAGTCAAGTTTTGTCTTTCACTTCACCCCCCCCCCCAGCGGGCACACAGACAGCAAGGAAAACCTGACAGAAAATCCAATTCTTGCCCAAACTATTCCAAACAAAACAAAAAAGTTTTATCCTGAGTTCCACTTTTAACACTTATCCTTTATTCTTATTTGTCTCTGCATCCTGATCAACAGAACACAATTGCAAGAGAGGAACCGTTACGCTGCTAAACAGAAGTTTTGGACATGGGGTCCTCCATCCTGGGAGTGCTGCGTCTACATCTGCTGCTCTCGGAGACCACGTGAGGAAGCTGAAAGCAAAAACGGGCGACAACAGTCCATCCCTCGTCTTCTCTT